GTAAGGCAAAGGAGAGTCTGTGGGTGGCATGTCTTAATTGTATCCTTAGTCTCATTCTGGGAATTTTCCTGAAATCTCAGGAAAGATGTACTTTTATTATTGATTGACGTATGCCCTGTTATTCATATCATAAGTATCATAAACAAAACACTTAATATTCCCCATGGTTCCGGTTTCCAGATGGTACGGCCTTGCCTTGCTGCAGCATCCGCCACACTGTGACCCTGTCAAATAGCTGGTGCAGGAACGCCTTCGCCATTCAAGGACAGACAGCCTGGGCAAAAGAATCAGACTCCATCTTAATCAACAACAAACAAAGCACACTTTTGAGATTTTTCTTGAAGGAACCTGAGAAAAAGACCAGACCAATGCTTCCCTCCCTCCCCCTCCCTCCCTCCCTCCCTCCCTGTCTCCCCCCCTCCCTCCCTGTCTCCCCCCTCTTCATTTTTGCAGTACTGAGTATTGAACCCAGGGCCTCACACATGCTAGGCAGCAAGCAGTAAACCACCAAGTCAGGTTCCCAGCCCAGACAAAATTTTCTCAAGTTTTAAAGTACATAACAATCAACTGTGGATCTTGATAAAATGCAGATTCTCAGTTGATGCCAGAGTTGCTGGTCTTCAGACCTCTTTGAGTAACAAGGGTCTAAATGTGTTGAAGAAAGATGGTTAACAAATATTCTGCTCATGATTATAGTTAAGGATAATATCTGAGTAAGTTTTCTTGCATGGATAATTTGGGGCTTAATAGTAGATATATGTTAGGAAATTACCATGTTCATGTGTGAATCAATAACACTTGGAATAACTGCTGAAAATGTCTCTTAAATTTTTTGAGAATTCTGAGGGCTTATAAGAAATGTGGGGCTGGGGTTGTGCCTCAGTGGTAGAGTGCTCACCTGGCACATGTGAGGCATTGGGTTTGATCCTGGGCACCACATAAAGGCATTGTGGCCGATACAACTAAAAACAATAAAAATTTTTTAAATGTGGATTCCACCATGCGGCCTGCGCAATGGTTTCATTAATGAGGTTCTTGGCATAAAAGTTAGCTAGAAGAGATCAAAATAAAACACACAGACTCAGTTACCTTATTTCTATTGCCAGGTCGGAGACGGCTCCCCTCTCTGGCTCCAACCTCTAACCGCCCAGCAGGGCAGCAAGGATTACTCAGGGCTAGCAGGAGAGAGAGAGAGTGAACACGCCAGGGAGTAGCCTTTTATTGGGGAACAAGAAATTCAGGGGATAATTCCATCCAATGAAGGTTGAGGGGGGACTGCACTCCAAGGTCAGGGTCAGTGATTGGGCCCCCGGGGTCAGTGGTCAGTCACACCCCCACACGGACAGGTTCTCTCATCAGGAAAGGGCCGGGAAAATTCCGACACAGCCAGAAGCCTCAGACCCTTAACGGGAGCCACCCAGTCACGTGTCAGGATGGCTTCCCACAGTGGATAATTTTCTTTCCCTCAATACAATTCTAGAAGGGGATAACAATTGCTTTAAAATAAACTTTACATAGGAGCCAGATAATTTTAATCTGAGGACTTCTAATACTAAAGTCCATATATATTTAGTAGAAAGACTGGGGTTCAGAGTACTAGTATTTGTTAATTTCTGCCTCTTGGGTATGTATGTACATATCTATCTTTTTAACTATCTCAATTTCCTATGAGCAAAATGGAATACCTGTTCTATTTACATGAAAACTATGAGAATTAAAATTTAACATACATGAAAGTGCTTTTTCAAGGCTGCTAGAAGTGGGAGATGGTATAATGGTGAAGAATGCAGGCTCTGGAATCAGATCTGCCTCATCTCTGTACAGCTGTGTAATATTTATACCTTCTTCTGTCTTTACTGAGAAATAAACATATCAGCATGCCCTTGAAAAAATTTGTAATAACCATTTAGGGAAATTTCTGACTTGATGATTTTGAATATTAAAACACATTATCTTCTTCAGAGCTTATAATTTTGCATTTACATAGAAATATAGGATTCTATTTATGAAAAGACTCTATTAATTTTTATTGCTGATGTAACAAAATACTACAAGTTCAATGCAATACAAATTTATTATACTACAGTTCCAGAGTTGGAAGGCCAAAAATGGGTGTTACAGGGGAATACAATCAACATGTCAGCAGGTGCTTTCTAGGAGAGCGCCTTTTCCAGATATTATAGATTGACTCCACTCCTTGGCTTGTATCACCTTCCAGCAATGGACCCACTCTGACCTCAGCTTCTACTGTCATATCTCCTTCAAGCTCAGACCTCCTGCTTCCCTTTTGTAAAGACTTTGTAATTACACAATGTCTACACCAATACTCTAGAATAAACTTTGCTATTTCAAGATACTCAGTTACATTTACCAAATCTCTTTTTCCACTTAACATACTCACAGGTGCTGGAGACTAGGATGAGGATATATTAGGATGAGATTAGGATGGGGCCTATTGTTCTTACTAGGATGAATTATCCAGATTTCCAAATAAGAAAAGAAACTGAAGATAGTGCTCTCAACCAGGCTTTTATGCTCTTGAGAATCCAAGAAATTGGCAGTTTTTAATTGTAGTTAAAAGTGGCCCCTTAGAACTTTTAATGAAGCTGGAAGTATAGATGAATGGGGGAAAAATAACTTCAAAGTTGAGTTTTCACCTACAAATGTATGTATAGATGAATAACTGCTAGATTATAAACTGTGTAACAGTAATGAGAAGCAAGCATTTTTAATGTATCTAACAGGTAAGAAGTGTTTAATAAATGCTTTGTGGATAAAATCAAATATAACACTGCTTGAGTTAAAAACAAAAGTTAGGGCTGGGGTTGTAGTTGAGCACTTGCCTCACATGTGTGAGGCACTGGGTTCAATCCTCAGCACCCATTAAAAAAAATAAAGAAAGCAAATAAAGATATTGTGTCCATCTACAACTTAAAAAAATTTTTTAACTTAAAAACAGAATTGCCACACCAATGAATTTTGGTTTATAATGTACTTGCCTCTTCCAGAACCTGGGTTACAGAACTAGAGATAAGAATGTTGGCATTGGAGTCAACTCAAGCTCCATGCTTGTGACAAAAACTTCTCTTCAATTTTCTCAGCTACAAAATTGAAATGATGATAGGATGTACCTCACAGATTCACTGTAAACTGAAAGGCATAAGAAGCACTCAATGTGGTAAACTAAACCACAGGATATAAGCAATTAGTCAAATTTTAGAACAATTTTAATACAAGGAAGTGAAAAAGGAAAGAATCATAGTCAAAGTTAAATTATATGCTTAGAAGAACAGATGAAAAGCTGAATAGGCATTGAAAATCAATTGAAAGGCAACGACTTTAGCAGTAAAGTTCATTAGGAAAAAATGCAAAATGACACCAATATTTTTTAACTTTTCCCTAATGTAATCTCCTCGTCTTTCTCGTGAACGCTACATTCTTCCGGTGGTTTTTCAAAAGGGCTTAGATGAATGTTTGGCACTCAAAAGGTGTACAAGTATTTGTTACATACGTTTCTAAAGGCTTTTTCTTAAGTCTGCCTCACAGCTCTTCTGCCTGCTAAATATCTGGCTATTCTGAGATTCCGCCTTCCTTTATTCCACACTCATTCTGGGTGATCTTTTGCCTTCTATTGAAGCGGCTGCTCCGAGAATTCCCAAATATTTCACCCAAATAAACCTTAGACCCTTATAATTCAATGGCATACGGAATCTTCCATTTGTATGTCCTACGAACATCTAAAATTAACCCATTATTTCTCCTTGCATCGCTGAAACGTTTGGAAGCGCTGACATGGAATAGAGTAACCAAATCCTGGGGGGTCTCGGTTAAGGTGGGAACTCGAGCAAAAGTTGAAGAAAGGGGCAATTGCCTTGATCTCCGCAGAGGTATACTACCAAGAGAACGAGTTAAATTCTAGCCTACGCTGACTCGGAAGTGGGCGGGAAAGCTGTAAAACCCAAGAAAACAAACGCTTGGACCACAACTCACGCCGGAGGCAGGAAGTGCATCACAGCGCTTCTCCCGGATCTTCACTCACCCATTTAGGAATCTTGGAGGACCCACCATGTCTGTGGTTCGTGTGTCTCCTACTCGGCTGGCCCTCACCGACTCAGAAGCTTACTCTGAACGGCCCAGGCAGTGAGGTTGGTCAGGGCTCCTAACCTCTCCGTTCAGCAGGCATTCAATCTGGGCTGACTTCTCTTCCCCACTAAAGAGATGTTGGCTCTCACCGGGTCCATCCTGCCCCTACCAACCCTGATTCTGGTCGTCCGAGGTCCCAAACCTGGGCATCATACATCCAGGTTTGTTCCGGTTGTCTGGGTATAATTTATACTCCCTTTCATTCTCGCGTCGAAAATTGGACAATAATTCCTCAAGTCTTAAGAGGATTCCTCACTTCAACCACAACGAGCACTTTTTGAACTCAACCAGGCACCTCTGATGTGAAATAGTGGGGTCTGGGCACCGGCACAGAGTTGCCCCTCTCCATTAGCTCCCACTTCTTCTGCCAGCCCTGGTCATGTCTTTCAGAAAATCATCCCCATTCATCCTAGCTACTTGCCTAAAACTGCTTGCCTTCTGCCCTATAAATTTCAGATCCAGTGCCCTATTATTCCATTTTCATCTGCAATATAAGGTGGGGCACCCCAGACCACCTCATTGGTGACTATACCACTGAAATTCTCTGAACAGATTCATTTTACATAACTAGCTGTGTTTACAATGAGTTTTTTTTTTTATCTTTTTTCCTTCTCTCACCATTTGTTGGCTTAATCTAGAGTTTTACCAACTAATTTGGCCTTCTTTCTTTTTGTGTTCTCTTGATTTTTTAATTTTGCCCTTTTCCCCCATTTTGTTGTTATGTGTCTAAGGGCTCCATGTATAAAGGTCCATAGGACTATATATAATTCATAATGTTCTTTTTTCAGTTTTTTTTTTTGGTTGCCTTTTTTTTTAATATGATAAAAATAGACCACTTCTAATGCTTATGTACTTTGGGCTCCACTTTTCTCATGCAGGTATGAAATGGGTTAAATTCCAAAAAAAAAAAAAATCTTTTAAGCAAATATTCTCTTACCAAACATGGATTAAACTCAAATGCAATTTAGCCAAGGACCTCTTAATATGGCTTCCACCTACCTTCTCCACTCTTGAGTTCTGTCCAGAGAACTCCTAGTTCTTGAGCTTATCTTGGATGGGCCTTGCCTCATACCCTGTTACCTTTCGGCCTAAAACCCTTTCTCTCCCCTCAGTCTCCTGCAGAGAATCTACTTTTCTCTCAATTACTAGATCAACATTTAACCAATGACATACGTATACTGGCACATATTTTATATTTCAAAGTACCTTCACATTTCATATTTTATAGCTTTTACTTTAGATGTACTTTTTATTTTAAAATTTCCTTAGAGGTAATTTTTGTCTTTTGGAAAGGTATAAAGCAATCTTCTATAAATTATTTTTTAAAGGGAAAATATCCACTATAGAAAACAGGAGTCATTTCCAAATATAAAATATAAACAGAATTTGATACTCCTGTAGCCCTGACCTTGAAATCAAAATTATAATAAGAGAGTCTTCAAGATTCTTGGCAGATTTGGGTTGCAAGATTTTCAACCTTTTCCTGATGCACAGTATCCACAGTTCTGAACAGTCCTCAAAGGAGTGCAGTATTATCCTCAAGAACCAATAAACGAATTTAATTGGATTTGAATCAATATTTTCTATTCTTGGCTCAGCCATAAAACTTTTGACTACTATTCTCTTTTAGGCTGTATAAAAGAGAGTGGATACTGAAAGGAGACCAAAGCTAGAGACTTCATGGGTTGGGGGAGTGGAGGAGAAGCCAGGATGGAAAAAGGAAAACAGAAAGGTGATAAATATTTAGAAATATGAAAGGGAAGCAACTAAGAATTTCTGGCCAGGAAGAACTAGAATAATCACAGAAGCAGCCAGGGTCTACATATCATTGTTAAGTTAAATATTACTCAACTAATGAGGAATGTATTAGCATAATTAGTATCAGAAAACAAGGGGAGGTAGTTTTGCAAACAGTCGGTTATTTTAATCATAATAAAGATCACTGAATTTTAAGTGGTATGTCTTTACAGCATATACAACACCTTTTGCCAGTTGAGAAAAATGAGAATTTTTGAGAAGCTGTGAAAAAAGCAAGCACAGAACAAACCAAATATCCATTATTCAGTTGTAGGTGTAAAAAAAAATTACTCCATATAGAAATACATTCTTTGAAGACCTTATATGTTCATATTTTAAGAGCTGATGTAATGGAATTATCCAAACATGTTGCTTCAATATGTGGAGAGACATTTAAGAAGCTTATCAACCCAGGGTGTTATAGTATAGTTGTATCAATTTACAGAATACATATTTACTATGAAATTGATTTTAATTCATACTGAAGTCTACTATATTTTCCTTATGTATTTCTCTTGGAAATAACTTAACCTCAAGACACAATCAAATGTTCTCTAGAGGAAATTTAAGATTTTTGATAATTAGCTACAAGTAGTGACACAAATCAGTTGAATGAAATTGAAGAACACCACCCATAACTTCTTCCATTTCTCTCTTGAAGAACTGTGCAATTCCAGATGCCCAGAATCTGTTTCTTAGCTTATGTAAAAGTCACTTGCTTTTGAAAAGAAAGAATTGGGCTTTGACTAAATAGGGAAGAAGAATGAAACCAAATATGTTACATGTTAAAATAGTGATTTTTCATGTAGTTTGTTAAACTACCAGCAAGTGAAATAGTATTCACTTTGTTATAATGTGAAAATCTCTAAAGAGTACATTCATGAAAATATCAAGGTATAGAAGAGTATAAATAATATGCCATCCTTCTGTAATTGAGGAAATATTTACATAAAGAAACATGGAAAGAGACATACAAAACTAGTAAAATGGCTAACTATAAAAAGAAAGAGGGGAGCATTTTTATATTGTTTTGATTTTTGAACCGGGTAAAAAATGAATCATCTTTTTTTAAAAAAAAGTGCCTCAAATGAGGTTAAGTGGGAGGAATCTTTCCTGGATTGCCCTATAAATTAAGTAGAGGAACTGATTTTTTTTTTTTTTTTTTTTTTTAGTATTTATTTTTTAGTTGTATTTGGACACAATACCTTTATTTTATTTATTTGTTTTCATGTGGTGCTGAGGGTCGAACCCAGGGCCTCACACATGCCGAGTACTCTGCCACTGAACCACAACCCCAGCCCAAGGAACTGTTTTTATTGAAACATATATGGAAGGGTTTGTTGAGATATAAAGCAAAATCTCAGTAACTTAAAAAATCCTATAAATTCCATATTCTTGAAACTTCTCTTTGGTGATATAATGCCTCTAGTGCCTTAGCAGGAAAACAAAACAAAACATTGCACTAGGAATTAGGAGACAAGTTTCAGCTCTGCTGAGCACTGTTTATATGATCTTAGACAATTACTTCCCAGAGCCTCCTTTTCCCTATCTGTCAAATAAGGGCATGTGGAAGTGCTCTGCATGGTCCCTTCCTATGATTCTATTATTCTTAAGTTACCTGTTGTGTATTTGGTCTTCTAATATAGACTACTATCACCACAAGTTTTCTGTTTCTTTGTCTCCTGGGCTTAGTATAAATCTTTATAAATAGTTAATCAACATTAAGGGAAAGAAATTTTTGTATATATGACTTTGATGGTAATCAATAGGCAATGCCAAGAAATATGGAAGTTACAAAAAGCAATCAAGAAGGATGGGGATATAGCTCAGTGGTAGCATACTTGTCTAGCATGTGATAGGCTCTGAGTTTGATTCCTAGCAATTAAAAAAAAAATCAGTATGGATGAGTAAGCATACTCTTCTATCTATTCTTGTAATATGTGAAATTTCCATATAAATTATTAAATATAGAAGAAAATATAAAAACTGACAACATTCATCATGTCATAGGAAAAATGCAGAGGCCAATATTTTTAAAACAAAAATCTGAAAATGATATATCAGAATTTTAGCTAAGTTTCTTACAAATTTAAAATCATGAGCAATTGTAGTTATCACTGAACACTGGGCTGCTATAATGTGTACCTCTTATACTTTGGTTCTTTGGTTCCTGAATGAAACCAGTTATTGAAAATCTATAGGGAGAAACGTTTGTGCATTTATATCTGTGTGCCCCATGCTATAAGGTTAAAAGGCAGATTACAGATTTTAATACTATTATTTTTTAATTAGTTTGTAAATATTCAGTGAATTGATTCAAATTATTTTATACTCAGACTGCATATGATTTTTGGATGAAGTAGTTTTCCTAAAGTATACCCAGAAAACTTCTTGCACAAGTATATGACACTAGATCTAAAGTATATATTATTATGAAGCCAACACAAACAGCAATATTCAGCATTGCAAAGCTGTATGTATATGTCACTGTCAACAGAGAACTTGACAGATGTGTGTAAGATATTAGTATGCTTCTTTCAGTAGAAAAACAAGGGTATGTTCACTGGCTTTCCCTTTAACTTTCTATGTTAAATGATTAAACTGTTATTGTTCTCTCAGGGACAAAATAAGAAACAGTACCCTTGCTACCTTTCTTAGTGGTCTGACTTCAGGAAATTTTGCCTTCCCTATTCCAAGAAGCTACCTCAGTTCAGTGATAGGGTGGACTTTCCGATGCTGAATGAGGTTGCAATGGTAAATGAAGTTCTTGCCACACTCTTCACATTCATAAGGTCTCTCTCCAGTGTGAATTCTCTGATGCTTAGTGAGGACAGAACGTCGACTAAAATTCTTGCTGCACTGATTGCACTGATAAGGCTTTTCTCCAGTGTGGATTCTGAGGTGATGGAAAAGCCCAGCATTCTGGCTGAAGGCTTTACCACAGACACTGCACTGGTAGCGCTTCTCCCCAGTGTGAAGTCTCTGGTGCTGGAACAGGCCTGACCGCTGGCTAAAGGCCCTCCCGCACTCATCACATTCATAGGGTTTCTCACCTGTGTGTGTCCTCTGGTGCTCGATAAGGATAGAATTCTGGGTAAAGCTTTTTCCACATTCACCACAGATATAGGGTCTCTCTATTGAAGAGTTTACCCGTTGCCTTTCCAATTTGTCCTCGTGGTCACAGGTGTCTCTACATTCTGACACTTTAGTAACATCACTGTTAAGTTTTCCAGGTACTTCTATGAGAGATTTCATTTCTTTAGAAAGTTCTTTTGCAGAAGCTAACTCCACATTCCAGTTACCAGCCTTACCATCTGAAATAATAAATGGATTACATGAATGTTATTTTTCTAAGGACAAAAGAAAAAAAGTAACCAAGAGAGTAAGTGGAAGGGAACAAGTAATCACTTTTTCTGTTTACTTTCCCACTCTAAAACACTTATTCCTGAACCTCTGGGAGAAGATTCATGTGTTATAACTGCTTAATTATTTAATTGCTTCTAAAACCAGATAGTAAGCTTCCTGAAAGTGAGGACCATGTTTGCCTTGTTCATCACACTGTTTCCCCAGTACCTGGCGTCATGCTTGGCATATAGAAGACACTGTGTAAATATGTTGGCTTGATGGACAGCCAGGAAATAAGGCAGGATCTCTAAGGTAATGCTAATCCTCACCAATGTCTTGAACAGGGCACGCCTCTGGTAAGTTACACTGCAGCTTCTTTTCCAAGATTTGGAATTGGCCACTTGATGACTCCTGGGCTGCTCCTTGAGTTGCCTTCTGTGTTACAAATATTTCCTGTTTATGAGCATGACTTGGGACCTGGTGGAAATTAAGAACAGTTGAGAATAAGATATCAGAGAGGACACTGACTTCTTCTCAGAGCTGCTCAGTAGAAAAAGAACCAAGAAATTGGTAAAGAAAAAAAAAGACAGAGAGAAGAGAGATTAAGAGCCTACAACAGACCGAGTCAGGCATAAAGAAACCTTTCTCCTCCTCACTTCTTCTTGTTGCACTAAAACCCCTTATTTGTTCCTATAGATACAAACCTCTGTTCTCCCTCTCTTCCCACCTGCTCTCCTGGTTCATCCAGCTCTCTCTCCAAATCCTCCAGCACAGCCACTGCCTCATCTCCATTCATAGGGTGGTGCTCTCTCACCCAGGCCTGCAGGTCATCAGGCAGGATTGTCAGAAACTGCTCCAGCACCAGCAGCTCCAGGATCTGCTCCTTGCTGTGCATCTCAGGCCGCAGCCACTGATGGCAGAGCTCCTGGAGTCTCTGAAGAGCTTCCCGGGGACCAGTGGTCTCCTGATAACAGAACTGCCTGAAGCGTCTACGGAAGAACTCTCTGGTATGAAGGTTACTTTTTGACAGGCCAGATTCTCGCCCACAGGCACGGTCCTTTTCTTCTTCCTTTACCTTCACTGCCAGAAGTCCTCCCTGGATCAGCTCAGTCTGAAGAGCCAAGGTTGTGGCCATTTTATTTTTTACTATTCAAAAAAAAAGCTGTTCTTGATAATTCCCCTTTAATCTTTTCTTCTGGAAATACTGAGTGAGATCTAAAATATAATTCAGAGAAAAAATATTAAAATGCAGAAAAACCTAGTGACAGGCAGGCACTGGGAGTATTTATATTCAAAAAGTCACTTTGGTTCATGAAGAAAGAACACTGAATGCATAAAGGTAAGAACCATGCAAACACTAAGCAGGTGAAAGGGGAAAGCTTCCCCAGTTTATTAAGGAAGGCACCATTTTTTTTAAAGAGAGAGAGAATTTTTAGTATTTATTTTTTAGTTATTGGTGAACACAACACCTTTGTTTGTATTTGGTGCTGACAATCGAACCCGGGCCGCACGCACGCCAGGCGAGCGCCCTACCGCTTGAGCCACATTCCCAGTCCAGGAAGGCACCATTTTGATCATCCTTAATGAAACAGTTCAAATCAGCTTTAGTACAGTGGGGTTTTATTTGAATGGCAATATCCTAGATTCATTGTGAATTTTTAGTCAAATGAAGGTAAACAAATACTTTGGGCCCAAGTGGTCCCAGATGACACTAAGAATCAAAAAGAAAAGGGACAAAATGGAGGATGGAGGTTAAAATAAAGAAGATAAAATGAGGGCTGGGGCTGTAGCTCAGTGGCAGAGTGCTTGCACAGCATGTGTGAAGCACTCGGTTCAATACTTAGCACTGCATAAAAATAAATAAGAATAATTATTTTAAAAAAGAAGGTAAAAAGAATGAGAAGCAAAATAAATACATTTGGAGAGGAGAGGCAGAGTCCCTCTAGTCAGGTGAGGTATGGAGGAAAAAGGTCTTTCTGCCTAAACTTTTCATACATACTTATTCACTTAGCAAATATTTATTCAGAGCCAATACTATATTCCAAGTAGTGTTCTAGGCATGAGAATACAGTTATAAGCAAAACAAAGTCCATAGTCTCATGGAATTTGCATTCTAATAACAATGATATCTGACATTTTTAGTGCTTTTAATGTACTAGTCATTCTCCTAGATGCTTTATATTAGTCCACTTAATCCTCAAAACAAATGAGTAAGGTACCATTATTACCTCTATATTGCAGATGAGAAAATTGAGACACAAAGAGTTTAAGTTACTTGTCCACCGTTTCATAGGTAGCAAGTGGTGAAAGCCACAATTCAAACCCAATAAAGGAGACTTTAGAATTCTTAGTCTCAGTCACTGTCTCTATACCACTGTCTCTATCAACTGTTGATATTATCTATATGTGGGGGAAAGGAGGAGACAAGAGCAGAAAAGAGGACCATGAGAGACAGACAATAATGAAAAATATATGAAGCAGTGAAAAACATTTTGAGAAAATGAAGGCAAATGATGTAGGGAGTAGGGGTGAAGAAAGATTGCTATTTTATATGTGGTGATCTAGGAAGGCTCTGTGGATAATAACTGAGCAGAAGTGAGGAACAAGTCATGTCTATCTGGAGAAAGATTGTACCATGCAGTAGAACACTTGAGTACAAATTCTTGGATGTGGGAACATGCTTGGATTTTTCAAGGAACAGCTATTTGAACAGTGACTGGAACAGAGAAAGCAAAAGGAAAATGGCAGGAGATAAAGCAGGGAGGAAGGAAACATTCCTCTCTGAAGTGTTCATCCATTTCAGCCTACCCTATTCCTCATCCCATCCTTATATTATGTACTATGAGTCACATCATTTACCATCAGTCATAATCTATCTTATACTGTTACTTTTCTTCACAATTATTTTTTTAATAGAGAGGAATATAAAATTCCTTCAAGTTCTACTCCCCAGAAATATGTAATTTAAAAATTGGAATGTAACTTTTAGATATTTCCTGTACATTTGTAATATCCCACACACAGTTGATATAAGCCCACAGTCTTCCTATTTATCTGGAAATAAGCAGAAGGTAATGTGAGATGGTGGACACAAGCAGATCTGGTTGTGAATTTTGACTAGCCTTGGGCAAGTTAATTTTTTTGAGCCCCAATCTCATGTGTGAAATGAAATATTGTATATAAAAGGGTTTTGCACACACAGAGCATGACAAACAATAAATATGCAAATTAACCCTTTAATAAGATGACCAACAATTTTGGTACAGTGGTGCTTAATCAATAGTGGTTACGCTTAGGGCCAAGACTAAACTTTTTCTGTGGCCAAAGAAGATTGCTGGGCAAGTGGGAAACGCATGTGTACACACAAATAAAATGGCTGTTTCATCAGGTTTCCAGACACTCTGACATTCTTCAGATATATTCTCTAACCTTAAATCTTTACTAGAAGTGCAGGACTACCAAGGTCCAAAAGAGAGAGGATCAGATTAAATGAGAGAAGTAACCTCATGGGTTGTGACTGTAAAGGTAACACAGAAATAGCAAATAGAGTCAGCATAGCAAACATTTTAAGCAGATTCTGAGCCAAACTGCCTAGATATGAATCCTGAATACACACACCCCTTACCAGCTGTACGACCTTGAGCAAATTATTTAACCTCATTTTATTCATGAATTTAAAAAAAAAAAGCAGGGTGGGGGGAATCTACATAATATTACTGCTTATTATATAAAATTATGAGAATATTTGGAAAGTGCTTAGAACAGTGCTTGACCAGCGCATAGTAAATGCTATTTAAATACTCATTAAAAAAAAAAAAACAGCAGACATTAAAAGCCTTTATACTATGTGAATCAGACTAATACACTATGTGAATCGGAGGCTCTGACCTATTTTTAAAAACTATTAAAATAGTAGAGAATGACAGACATCGGAAAATACATTCCTCTATATCCGAATGTATCTGGATCCTAAGCTGCAGCTGGGGACGGTTCGGAGAGGCACCAATACTAGGACAGAGGTTGAAGGGCTCCGGCATAGCCTAAGGACGTGGAGGGCAAAGACGTTGACTTCAATCAAGCAGCTCTGGAGCAACCTCTTCTGCCCCTCACTTGCATGGCTAATCTCTAGCAAGAAGCCCCCTCCACCTTCTCCCCACACCCGGTCCGGAGTCGCAGCGCCAAACCCGCTCTTCCGAGGGCCCTCAATGGTAGTCCCAATCCGAAGCTCACCGAGGCATCCGTGAGAGAAGATGCCACCCAGCCCAGATCGCACCACCTCAGAAACCTTGACAACAGCAGCCCAGAAAAAGAAAAACTACAAAGACCGGAAGTGCCTCAAGGTGGCTGGCTCTTTGTGAAACAGCTGTTCTGGCTGCGTTCCTTCTAGGAAGCTCGGAGGTTTCCACGCATCTGTGATCGCCTTGCTGAAAGCCCTCTCTTCCAACCGGCAATGTGATGACAGCTGGCATATACTGCTTTACACATGCTAATTCATTTACTGTGAATTACAACCCTGTGAATTATCCTCATCTAACAGATGGGGAAACCAAAGCACGTTCCTTCAACATTAGTTGCCAATTTCCTGCAAACCAAACCGTCCCTTTTCCCTGCCCTCCCTCATGTTATATTGAATCTATGCGTTCTCTTAAAATTCATTGCTATAAACAATTACTCCTATTATTTAATGTTTAATTTATTTCAAATGTGGTCCATTTCAGAGACCTTTAAAATTAGTTTTTATGTCCTTCAATAAGTTTTTGAGCGCTTCACTTTCTCACACAAGAGATTCCAGCCTCATTTTACACTTTCCTGCTCTAGACCAAGAATCCATGAAGCTATGACTCCTTTAAGAATGGGAAACAGAAACCCAAGATCCAGGTTTGGGGCAAAAACTCATTGCTACTGGAATATATCATTGCTTGTAGGCCCTGTTTGTGGATAAGAGCTAAGGGACAAGATTGAATGTCTTTTTCTGAGGGATTTTATAGGATATTTTCTATATACAAATCCAGAGAATTTTTTTTTTCATTTTAACCATTACATATTTGCTTTTCCTTTTACCCACGGTAAAAATCTTGGCCCCCACAGCCTCAATATATTCACTCAATTTTCTCTATCTTATAAACAAAGCAGTTTCAAAATTACAATAGCAGTATCACTAGCAATAATATACAAACTATGTACAGTCCCCAAAAATGTGTATTTTATTTTTTCTTGAGGTATATTCTAAGGGACTATAGTGAGAATATTGTACATATACCTTATTTAATTATTTTCTCTGTATGGTTATATTACAAACTGGATATATATTTAGGATCATTTGTTTCTGTTTGTGTTTAATTTCAGGGTTTGCTTTTCTAAATAGACTAAAATTGTGTTTCTATTTATTACCAATCTCTCTAAATAGATAATGTGAAAAAATAAATAATTCTTAAATTATGAATGGAGGATTGTAGGGGATTTTTTCTCTTTAAAGAAATCCTTTGAAACATACCTGTAGTTTCATCAATTTGGGAAATTGAGGCAGGAGGACTGCGAAGGAAGACAGTGATTTAGCAAGATCCTGTGTCAAAATAAAATAATTAATTAATTAAAAGGATCAGGGATGCAGCTCAATAGTACAACACCCCTGGATTCAACCCCTAGTACCATACCATTTTAAAATAAGAATTCCACTGTATTTTCCCACAAAGCTTTTCAATATGATGATTACTATTATTATTGAAATAAATTTGGTAAGTTAAGAGTTCTCTGAATCAGTGTGCTTAGAATTAAACCCAGGACCATTCCACCTTTGAGCTTGAGTTGTTGGAATTACAGAATATGCTTCAAAGGATTTTGTTAAGAGAAAAAGAAATCCCGTAAAATCCTCAGCTTCCTGAATAGCTGGGGTTACAGGTATGTTTGAAAGTCCTGGCAGTTTTTTTCTTGTGTCCCACTTCCTTTCCTTCTCCTTGCTTTATTCCCATCCTGGTCTCAATATCCTTTTACCTCTTATTCTTTCATTTATCTGTCCATTTATCTTATCTTTCAGCACCCACTTGAGAATTGGTACCTGTACCCCAGAACTTGAAATGTCATATCTTGTTTAGGAGTATGGAAAAAAACTGCCTACTAAATAATTATTTTCCCTTTCATCAAATAACAGACTTTTATCTAGGTATATTGACACCTAGAATAAAGATTACATTTCTCAGCTATCCTTGCAAC